CTGCGAGGAAAAGAGACGGCTATATTGCCAGCCATGCATTTGAATATCACAAATATTTTCTATTTTATCAGTTTATAGTAATTATTAGAACAAAATTTGCTTCAAAATGCGTTAAATTAACAAACATTGATTGAAGAAACGACACTTTACATACTATCACTATTTTCTTCGCATTATTTTACGGAACTCTGCGGCATCTTGACTTTGTGACTTTTGAAATTTGCTTTAAATGCGTTAAATTAACTAACATTGATTAGATACCTGTCGAAAAAACGTCACTATAAGTTTTTTTTTCTCATTTTTTATGGAGCTCTGCGGCATCTTGACTTTTCAACGGCGTGACTGTGAACCAAGAAGTGCTTGTATGGTGTTCAAGCACTTCTTGATTGGGACACATTTCGAGCGCACGTGGTGTATCTAAGGTATTTAATATCGTTGTTATTTGATGACCATATACCATCAGAACACTTAGCTTTCGATTAGAAAAAACAAAGAATAGACGAAAATTCATTGAATCTGAAACGGATATATTGGAAATAACGGAAGTAATAGGTGACGGATACTGATCTACTTTGATAACAGTATTATTCATATTTTTTAAATAATCCTTTCGTTATCAAAACTACCGATAAAATAACTGGATCGATCATAAACAAACATTATTTTAAATAATAGATAGATACTCAAAAATGAAAAACTTAGATATTTGCTGAAGCAAATTGTAAGTTGTTGTGAAAATTAAACTGAAGGCGATGAAACATTGTTATCAGACGAAGTCGCAGGCACGCGATAATTTTTACCTTTATAAGAAGAAATAAGTTAATTTATAAGACATATTCCATATTATAAGCCTCTGTGTACGATTTCCAGAAGATAATAATATTAAGTGTTCTGCCCTCGAGGCCAGATGACGTCACAATTACCAACCGCGTCCTTGAACTTGAGGACTGATTGTATTTTAAGTAGCCATCCATTAGCATGCGTGGCGAAAGTTACGAAATCAAAGCTATAAGTAATGATTGATTACCACAACGAACAACAGTCAGAATGTTGATAGAGTCTGTGCGGAAAGAGAATGGGCGTGGCGAAAAACGGAACTAACATTAAGATTTTTATTTGGCAATCGCACCCAGCAATCTGTAAAACGTCAAAGTTTTGTATTGTTACGGATTTGTTTGTTGTTGTGATTTCTTGCGGTTTTTTGTATTTAATCATGTCTAAAAGGGGTAAAACCTTACAAATACGGTAGAAAAGCACTACAGCGCCCTCCAATCTAAATCCCATTCTCTTTCCGCACAGACTCTACATGAATACTTTATAAGGTATAGTCAACAATATTAAATACCCTAGATACGCCCACATGCGCTCAAAATGTGTCCCAATCAAGAAGTGCTTAAACTCCACTCTCAAGCACTTCTTGGTTCACAGTCACGCGCGGACCGTTGAAAAGTCAAGATGCCGCAGAGCTCCGTAAAATAATGCGAAGAAAATAGTTATAGCATGTTTAGTGTCATTTTTTCGACAGGTCTCTAATCAATGTTTGTTATACTCATTTGAAGCAAATTTTGTTCTTATACTTACTATAAACTGATTTAATAGAAAACATTTGTGATATTCAAATGCATGGTCGGTTACATAGCCATCTCTTTTCCTTGCGGTCCGTACTCGCTATATTGCTAACAGCGCATACAGATTTGCGCGTAGAGTAAAAAAAATAAGGTCTATATTCTTCCGCATAAAGCAATGTCGTAAAATTTTCTGAGGTTGCATTTCGAACTGTCATGACTATTTACACATTTACATTACATTACACATAGATGCGTTTTAATTAAGAACATATACAGTATACATTAAAGGTGACTTTCAATGTTTAAATAATGCCTTATATTTTGTGATCACCTTACAGGGCTCCGTGGATCCAATTTACGTTTTGGACAGGTTTCAGCCACGATTTTGTACGTGTTGTTGTATCTAGGGTGTTTAATATCGTTGGGTATAATTATGGAGTTAGATAAAATAGAAGAGTTAGCAACACCACTGACACGTAATGTAATTTTTGCTTTAAGCCAATGGGAATAATCAAGACAAAAGGGTTGTAGATTTCATGTGGATCTACTATGTCTGCTATCTCATGGTGTTTTGTGAATCGGAATATAAAACCTCCTATTTTGTATTAGACACAAGCTTTTTTTCTTCTTGATAGTTTTTTTAAATTTATTATGTTAAATAAAACAAGATTCAATGGCATAGATGCACTGATTTATTTATTTATTGACGTTTCGCATCCTTTTCAGGATGCGTCGTCCGAGTAATGATTTTATTTACTTTGTCAAGCTACCTCGGAAAGACTTTTATTGAGCATTCGGATAGGTTTCATTGGAAGATTTTTAAAACTTTATTGTCTATGTATGAATTTATTAGCTAATCTAATTCATTAAAATGAGTTGAGTTGTATGGAGAAAAGGTTGGATGCTTTGCATTGACAACATAATGTGTTTAAATCTAAATAAACTTTTACTACAAAAAAAAACCATGCGGATCAGGTAGCAGACGGGACTCTAACCTGCACTCTCACTATCTGGACGAATGCACAGGAAAGTATTTTTTTTTCAGATTCAAATTTTTAGCAGTTTAGTGGTTAAAAAAAAAACCTATAACATAATAATAATTGGAAAATAATTGATGAAGCGGATGATATTGTTCTTTCAACATAATAATAGCAAATTCACATGGACATGTAAACATACTTAATAAATACCAAATGCAAAGTTGTTGAAGAACTAACATAGTTCCTTAGTTGGAAATGTACAAGTTCAATAGACCTTTCAAGGCACCATTCTTGGCTAACAAACAACTAGCTGCCTACTTTATTTAACTTACCTACAATTGTTATTTTTATTTTTAATATTGAGGTGAAAGAATCATAATTGACAACCTACATTGCTACAATGGTTTGTACGCCGGGTTTCATAGTGTCGCCGACTTGATAGATCCCAGGTTCGAATCCTGGTGGGGGCAGATGTTTGTACTCCAGTAATGGATGTTTAATATGTATTATATCTATATCAATATACTTTTATAAGTATAGTTTATGTATTGTATCCGTTACCCCAGTATCCAGCATTGCCAGTTTTAATTTTTACCAAATCGGGAGTAAAGGAACTTTTTGAGTGAAAAAGGCGGGATTCTTTCGTCGAAAGCAGGACATAGTAAAAAAAACGTATATAATCAAGTTTTTGAATATTTATCTTTTTAAGTTCAAATTACGTAATTTGTAATTTAGGTGACAATAGATAGATACCTAGTAAAAATATTCATAGAAAATGTATTTTAATAAAAATATGATATTTTTTATCAGGTTTACCCTATCGTTAAATAGTTGAGTCTTTGTTTGTGAGTTCTTCATTACACGCTGGGTAGGTGGCCAGTCCACACTTGTCTGTGCCAACCGCCTGCGCTTATTCAAAACGCTGCACGCATGCATGGTCGAGTTATTCCCGAAAAGCAGGATTGAGCCTGTCCCGCATGGGACATTAATTTTGATTTAATAATCGGGATGTCTGGCAACGCCACTAGTATCCCATAACACAAGCCTTACGGTGCTTACTTTGGGCTAGGCTAATAGGTTTGAGTGTTTGTAAATATTTATTTATTATTTAATACTGCAGATGTGAGGGCACCTGCTGAGTAACTATGCTCAATGGCAAATGCCTACAAACTTAAACAATACTTGTAAAAATATTGTAAGCATTATGAACCATAAATTCGTAAGTATTTATGAGAGCTCCATTGATCTAATCAAATATTCACTCAGGCAGAGAGATTGCCCAGCAACTAAAGACTAAGATTAAGTTCAAATTTGATGCTCCAACATATTTTTATTTAATAAAACTAGTTTTAACGGGTTAATGTATGAACTTTATTTATTTATTGACATTTTGCAGCCTTTTCAGGTCTGCATTGTCAGAATAACCACAATTTAAAAAAAAGTAACACTTTTGTCAAGCTTCCATTGTGGTTAACCAAATTTTTGCATTGTAAAAATCTTATTTATTTATTAACTTTTGGTAAAACTACTTCATTATTATGGCCAACTAGATAAAAATGGACATATTGTAATAAAGTGTCTCCTGTTATCATACCTCGGCAGTGTTCCAGCTAAGTGTTCAATGTTTAATAACCAGATAACACAGTGATTAGCATGACTGATAAAACTATCTGTAATGTTTATGCTTTAATGGTGCTCTTCATATGAAAGAGTTTATGATGTGAAGCTAATGGCTCATGGAGATTGCGAACATAAATTTATATATTCATAATATGAATTGAAATGTCAAACAAAATTATATCTAACAAAGAGCTTGAAATGACAATCAATATAATAAGGAACTGGTTATAAAAAATCATAACAACATTATTTTTGTGTAGATCTTTGATCAGAACAATTATGATTTGGTGAGGATTTCTTGTTGTTATAGAACTTGTTTGATATTCCAGTTGGATTAATGTAATAAGTTTAGAGTCTTGGTCACATGCTCCCCTGCCAAGTTAAAGAAAATCAGGGTTAGGGATCACTAACTTTGTGTATGCAATCAACATTTCGTTAGTTGAGAAAATGTCAATCAAACATTTTAACATGCCAAAAAAATATCTTTAGGTACTTCCTTTTAAGACATCCTACCTAAACGTATGCTGTCCTGTGAATGTACACCACTTACTAAATATTCTCCTTATATTGAAGTCCTGCAACAATATTTAATATTGTACCACGGGCGCTTAGAATGTGTCCCAATCAAGAAGTGCTTGAACACCACTCAAGCACTTCTAGTATGTATGAACCGTTATCAGCTTTTCTGTATCACACCGAGAAGCTAATTAGATTATGTACCTGCTTAGACCATTAATTTCAAATCAAATTAAATGCTAACCAAAGCAAAGAAGTAAATTCCACGGCTTATTGTTATTTATTAAAGTGGTTTATTGATTAGGTAGGTACTTACAAATCGTCCTCTGAGGTCAATTCGGAAACTATGCTCTGCAAATGATCGGCATCGAAGTTCAGGAAATTTTCATCCACAACTCCTGGTTCCATTATCACAGCAGTTTAATAAACTCCCGTCGTAAATCACATGACACAAAAGTCCATCACCAAAAACAAACGTGTTTTTAACCAACAATCACAACTTCAAATGCGTATCAATCTTAAAAGCATTTTAAATGTTGTCAATCGTTAGTCAGTGATCTGCATTCTAGGACACTACGCTGAAATTAACGGGAAAGAATATTATAATCACAAAACAACCGGCGTAAAAATCTGACCGACAAAGGATCGACACGACAACACAACAACATTGCACAATCACACTAGTGCCGATTGGCTAACTGACACTGACAGAAAGATTTTTTTTTTTTATTCATGACCATGGATACAAGTCTTTCAGTCGTATCACAGCAGTAACAGAAAGAACGAATGAATCAGTGCTGCCAGATCGTTATACCGGTGTTTCCGTAATTTCATTGCCAAATTCATTAATCAAAAACATTTCTACAATACTTAGGCTGTCACAACCGTTGCCTACTAATAAGGCCTTCATATATTATGGTAATAAATATTTTTTGTTTTGACGTGACAACGTCTTAAATTAGGTTGCGGCTGGGAGTCACTTATGAAAAAGTGTAACGCTCGGTAACGTTACGATGAGTTTAAGTTTACATGTACAATGTTTTAGTAAACAAAATATATTTCTATAGTTAAAATTTGTGCAATTCTTATTTTCATTCAATTCCTTGTTCCTATTGTGCAATTTAATTATATTCATATCAATAAATATTCTACCGAGAAAAAGACGTTGTCACGTAAAATCTTCGCCCGTAAAACCGACTTTACAGGCAACCATTTTTTATTTTATATTTTATATTATTTTAAATAATGCCGTAGTGTATACAAAATTAAGACAACGATTAAATTCATAACTAAACAAAATAGTTCAATAATAATTAATAATTAATTTAATAGCAACACTGGAATGATTGAACAGGGAATCCGAATTCCTGGTTTCTATTCGATTATGAATATTATGTTTTATATGAATATTATAATTCGATTATGTAAAGAAAACATAACTAAAAAAACCACGAGGACCAGGCTGCAGACAGGACTCAAACCAGCATAATTGGTCTGTGCATTCGCCCGGATAGCGAAGGGTGCGGTTTAGATTATAATACATATTTTAAACTATATTTAGGCTAAGAATTTGCCATGTCATACTTGAGCAATGTTTCTGCCTGATATTTGCTAAATTCGCTGAAAAAATACAACTCCCTAATATTCAAGCAGAGTTCAATAATGTGTAAATCTAGTTTCTTTTTATTAGATAAAGTGCCTGTTTGCATTTTGCTGAAAAATCCGTATGTTCTTATTATCCGGTTTAAGTGTTAAAATTCCGTATGGATACGGAGAAATCCGTATAAATGGCAACACTGGAATGATTGAACAGGGAATTCGAATTTCTGGTTTCTATTCGATTATGATCTATGTCTTTGATTCAACGTAATCAAATAACTACTATAACTTTTGTGTTTTATGATGAGAGGCCTAGTGTAACAAGCTACCAATGAAAATTTATTTTCTATAGAACCAGTCTTTTATCATAAAAGTTCTCTTGCGAATGTGACATGACACGAGAATTTGAAAGATTTGTGTAAGAATGCGTCAAATGAGCACTATGATGAAACGTCATGACGTTTAAAGTGTCTATAAAAACATGTCTCCTTATGAAAGGTTACTTTCAATAAGTTTAAAGTGTCTATAAAAACATGTCTCCTTATGAAAGGTTACTATACTGTTAAAGATTTCATAAATGATAAGTAACCTTGGGCTTAATATAACAGACTAAGTCGTTTTACTTTGCTGATTTGGTTGAAAATTGTTTAACCGCCACTTCTAAATTTAAATGTAGTACCTAGCTATACTTAACTTTTGTTAATTAATAATATTAATGTGATGGAAGTTGACATCAACACATGTTTTCAATTTTTGATGTCATCTTACAATTGACGACACTGTTTGAAACAAAACAGGGAGAAAAAAATAGCCCTTGCTGAGTTTCTTGCCGGTTCTTCTCAGTACAAGGTCTCCCGCCGTAGATTTACGAACCGATGGCGTAGCGTTTGACTTTCACAAGAGCTTGTAACAGCCTAGACTGAATAAATGAGTTTGAGTTTGAATTGTTTTACACATTATGTTGATAAAGTTAGCACTTTATCAACAGAATGTGTAAAAATCCATATAAACGGATGATCTCTTCAAATGGCAACATTACTGTGTTCATGCCCCGGTGTTGGCTTAAGAACAATGTATCCATTGCCATTTGATAAAAAAAAACATTCCCCGGCGGGATACGGCGTTTCGGCGGAAAACTTAAAGATGATAGTAGAGTAATTATCGATACCGGTTGTTCTGATACCAATAAAAAGAAAAGGAAACTTAGCGCCCCAAAGGAAAAACCTTCGAATGATTTGAAGGCAAATTTTAAATGTTACACCAAACCCACCAAACAAATAGTTGTGATAGTGAAGATTGAAAAAAAATACAGTAAGCACCTATGTATGTAACAAAAATAGTTTTTTTTTATATAGAGGTAGGCAAATGACTCTACCCCACCTGATGTTAAGTGGTAACAAAGTCCAAACGCGAAGATAGCTGGTACAACATTTTATTTAAAGACCAACCCGTTTATGCCCTGTAATCTTCTGTAATACAAAACCATTGTATGCTTCTTTATGGTTTGTTTATGGAAGTAGGTAGGGGAAAGCTAGGAGACCTGCCAAGGTGGGAGCAGTAGCCAGTAGCTCACCTGGGCAGTCTAATAAATATAGTTATGACAATAAAATCACAGGTCCTAAAATTGTACATTCCCTGTATCTTATCCAGTGAAGAATAGATGTGATATCAAATCAGGTTGACGTTGGTCCATCTTGAAACCGGCACTCCACGGCCAGTACTGTTTAGGTTTTTGCGGTGTGTAATCACAGTCTCTTTGCAGCTGACATTTAACAGAATATTCCCTCTTCTTTCGAGCTTCTATTATGACTACCGCAGTTATCACTACTAATAACATTATCATATGTTCTTTGCTCATCTGCAACAAAGAAACTAACTCATAATTTGTTAATTTTATTTATTTATTTGATTTTATTTTCAGCGCCATGTAAGCCTACAATTACAAGCACTCACACTAAAGTACATTAATGATGTAGTGTGTCACGAGGCATAGCATTGCAGCTCCATGGACACACACACACACACACACACAACACACACACACACACACACACGCACGCACGCACGAACACACACACACACACGCAAGGTTATCATGTGACAAATTCTTGAAAACCCTTTTGTATGGGTATTTAGTGTTTGTTTTTCTTTTTTTTTGGCTTTTTGTTATGTTTTATTTTGTCCAATCTTAATTTAATTTCACTATTTATCTTAGTAAATTCTAAGATTTATATACAATTTTTAAAATTAAATGTTATAAATACTGATATATAGTAACACCGTTAGTATCTAATGTGTACATAATGAGTTTCTGTAATTCGCCCTAAGATTGTTTTTAAATTTTATTGTATTAAATCCACAAAGAAAAACGCTGTAGAAACTTTGTTAAAGAAAAATAAAAAAATAAATAAAACATGTGCATCCAGTACATTTCATCATCATCATCATCATCAACAGACTATCTTAGTTCACTGCTGGACATAAGCCTCTCCAAATGCACGCCACTCAGATCGATCTTGGGCTACTCGCACCCAGCTCCTGCCAGCTAACTTGCACAAATCGTCACTCCATCGTGCCTGAGAACGTCCAGTACATTAAACACAGGTTAATTTTCACATGGACGTGGGTAGTAACCTCCACCTTACAGGAGACCACAGTAACATAACATTACCTTTTGTTGGTGTTGGGTTTCTTTGGATGAGTAAGGTTCCAGGGCTCCACGGGGTATGGGATTGGGTCTGTGAGTGATATTTCTTGTATCGCCAGCGTCTATAGGCCAAGGTGGTAGTTACCATAACGCGGGCCATATTCTTGTTTACCAGCCTTTTAATACAAAAAAAAATGGGTGCGTGTACTTATGTAGGCGCGTAAGAAGTTATCCTTCTTTGGCATCGTTTAAAATTAGTTTTTAATTGCATGCAAATAATTAATTACAATAAATTAATAAAAAGTCTGGAAAAAGACATAGTCAATAAAGTTCAGTTTTAATTTGAAAAAATAAATACTTAATCAAAATATTCAATTAAAATCGCTACTGAATATAATATTTATTAGAACATATGTGATTTGCACTTGTATGAAACTCAAACACGTATTCCGAATATACAAACTAGAAACATGTGGATAAATATTATAAATATGAATACCTATAACTGTTACTTTATTACAAAAAATAAAGATGTGGTTTTTGGTTCTACTACACCAATGGTCAAGAGATGGCGCTGTAGTCTCCTGAATCGCGCTTTGGTTCCGTTGTTCCAGATTAATAAATACTTTTGATAGGCCTTCACAATGCAGTCGTTAGCATCCACAAAATAGAGATTCTATTTCTATTTTGTTGGTAGATTTTCTTAATGTGCAGTAAACACAAAAGTAACGCATGAAGATGACTAACTTCATGCTGTTAAAATTTTGTGTTACAGTGATGCGCGCGCATCTTAAAATTTCACTCTCATCATTTTTTCATAACGCGCCTAAAGAAGTATAACTTCGAAAAAAACAGGGAATAATTTGGCATCCTATTCACTTACATTAAATAAAACTAGTTTTTCACGGGTTAATGCACGAAACTTTATTTATTTATTGACGAATCATGAAATGGACAGCCGGAGGTCTTAAAAAAAAACCGAAATTACTTATAACAAATTTAATTAGAAATAAGAAATTACAATTATTATATTATTTAAAACCTATTGACCCGATCGATGTGAGAATCAAAGTGATCCGATGACGACGGCGGTCACGCGGCGGCGCGGCGTTCACGTTTCGCAGCGACAGCATTTCCGCCGTGTGGAAATAATGTCGATGGCCCACTTGCATGGGCGAAGTCAGCGCTTTACTTGTATTCTATGTATGTAATTGACTTTCGCAGCCTTTACAGGCAGCTTCGTCGGAATCAATTTTTTATTTAATTTTGTCGAGCTACCTTCGAAAGACTTTTATTGAGCGTTCGGTTATTTCATTGTTCGATTTTTAAAGTTTTATTGTCTACTAGTAGCCCGCCCTCGCTTCGCTTCGGTGTAGAGCTGTAGTGTAAACTATAGTTTTTGTTCTCAGGCTTATGCTATAAACAATGATTTTATTTATATAATTACACGTGTTATTGTGAGTCAACCATAAAAGATAGACATATGCTGTTGCGCGATATTTTTTAGACAATTTTATGTAGAATATTTCCGTCATACATGATTTCTATGTAACTAGGCTGCACACGCGACGGAAGCTTAAAAAATGGAGTAACTTCTCCCGTTTTCCCAACATTTCCCTTCACTACTCTGCTGCTATTGATCGTAGCGTGATGAAAAGTATACTATAACCTGCCCATGAGTATGAAGAATAATTGTACCAAGTTTCGTTAAAATCCGTTGAGTAGTTTTTGTTTCTATAAGGAACATACACACAGACAGACAGACAGACAGACAGACAAAAATTTTACTGATTGAATTTTTGGCATCAGTATCGATCACTAATCACCCCCTGATAGTTATTTTAAAAATATATTTCATGTACAGAATTGACATCTCTACAGATTTATTATAAGTATAGATATAGATGTATGAATTTATTACTTAATTTAGTTAATATAAAGTACTTTATTTAAAATTCTTTTTTGTAATTTTGAGTTTATTTATTTGACCCTAACTCAATAAAAGTCTTTCGAAGGTAGCTCGACAAAATTAAATAAAAAATTGATTCCGACGAAGCTGCCTGTAAAGGCTGCGAAACGTCAATAAATAAATAAAGTTTCGTGCATTAACCCGTGAAAAGCTAGTTTTATTTAATGAGTGATGTGCGTGAAAACCTAAGAAACAAATATTCACTTACATTTCAATATTTCGTGTTATAAACAGTTGAGTACTACTAGGCTGTAGATGTGTACGAAGTAAGGTGCATGCATAGGTGATGTTTCAACATTTATAGCATTTCTTTCACAACTTATGTAAGACCCTAAGGCTAAAGTCACACTAGAAAGAACTTCACTTACGATTCCAGCTAGAAACTATGAAAATCGACTGCTCGGGCGCATTTCTGGAAGGGTTGTGGGTCAAGTTTACAGAAACTATTAAACTCCAAGTTTCCGCTTTATATTGCTTGTCAGAAGATTCCCAATCTTCTTAGGGAATTTGACTATTTGTGGTAACTTGACGTGTGTATCTTTACCTATCTTACTAAGAAATAATGTTATTTATATTTTTTATTTTTTAAAGCATGTAACTGCTTGATGTTAAAACTAAAAAAAATATAACTAGAAACAATTCCACGCGGATCAGGCAGCAGACGAGACTCGAACCCGCATCCTTCGCAATCCGGGCGAATGCGTCGAAATTCCTCTAGCCATTCTTAATCTGCAAGGCAGCGCCATCTCTTCGCATTATAGGTATATACAATACTGTTATTACTTTTTTGTCTTTATATTAATAGTATTGTTTAGAAGGTATACCTATAGGTAGATACTGTGTCGGTTCATTGTGGATGGACACTGCGCACAAAACTGGTACAGGTCGCGGCACATAACTCTAGCACTGGACAAAACGCGTCAGGGATAGCTCCGCATGGGTACGACTGGAGAGCCAATCGGCGCAACGCACGCCCGCCCGCGCACCTCGTTTCCCCCCAACACATCTTAATTTTTACTTGTGCGCAATAACGGTCAGCGCTAGAGTTTCGTGCCACGACTTAGGGGCTGTTCAAGTATTACGTAAGCAGATTTATTACAATTATTTACCCCCTCCTCCCCCTTGTCAGCAAAAGTAAGCAAAGCTCTTACCCCTCCCCGCATCCTTACGTAAACATTGGTACCTATATGCATTTTTCCTTTAATGTATTTTGTTTTTTTTATTGATTCATGAGCTTTCATGAGCTTCATGAGCAGCAGTACTTAAAAAGGCTTAATCAATGATGCTGACATAATCACCATCTCTACCCCCCACCCCCCCATGTCATCAAAAATAAGCAAAGCAAAGACCCCCCTGCCCCCCTATAGTGCTTACGTAATACTTGAACAGCCCCTTATAATGGGCCTCTGACGATGTCAATAAGTGCGGATAGCCAAGGAAACGATTTGATTTCAAAATGATATCAAGTTGGGGTAAGTTCTTCTTCTTCGTCTTATTGCAAAATGGCGGTCGCTTCGGTGGCACTGTATCACTTGAGCAGTTGAGTTCGAAACATTATAAATCATCGGTTTAATGATTTATAAAATTGATAAAGATAGTATGCAATGTTTTTCATGGCTAATCCTCAAAGTAGTAGGTAATAGAGTAGTCGGTTAAACACAGTGTTTTAACCGTGCTTACCTATTTGTAGAAGGGTAAAAAAACATTAATTTCGTCTTTTCTTTCGCATCAGAACTAACATATAGAAATATCTAGTTACCTGACATCATCATCATCAGCCTATTAATACCTCCACTGCTGGAGCATAGGCCTCCTGGAATATGGATGGAATAGGGGGATTGGGCCATGACCCTTTTTTTAGGCAGGCAATAAATGCTATTTACAGACGACGGCGCCTTTAAGAGGCACAGGACCTCACACCTCGCTCCCGCAAGTCTTACGGACCCCCCAGTGGCTGTCCACCGAGGACCCCGCAACTCTTACGGGCGCTTTACGGCATAATATCCGCTAAAAAAGTCCTGCGAATAGCTGCTTAGCGCGAAGCCGCGGGATCCCCGTTTAGGGATTCTTCCGCGTCTCCGCACCTAGCAGCCTCCCGGCCTAGCCGGGGTCCACGGCAGGGGTCTACTGGGATATCACGGGGACCCCGCAGACGAGCGCAGATAGGCCCGCGCGTGGGGGCTGAGTACGCGGCCTAATGCAGACCGTACCGCCCCCCGTCCGCTGCGGAGGGATACTTGGGCGTGCCCGTGTAGCTCCCTCCGCCGCCCCCCTCTTTGCAGGACAGAACTACAAGGGGGGCTGCCGTCACGAGGTCCGTCGGTGGCCGGCACAGCCAACGCCATGCCGGTCAGCGAGGGACCCCCCGGGTAGGGTCATGGGACCGTCGCCGTCCTCTCCTACCCACGAGGGCTCAGTGCGGATTAACGGGTGCCAACGACTGCAGATGCAGCCGGGACCGACGGCTTAACGTGCCTTCCGAAGCACGGAGGAACTCGAGATAGAAGATTTTTGGTCACCCATGCAATGACCGACCACTGCAAAAGTTGCTTAACTTTAACGATCGCAGCCGAACGCGCTAACTACCTATGCCATCTAGCTTCTCACTACTTACCTGCCATACTTACAGCTTATATCTTTTCCTTACTTACACTCAAACAACATTTTTTTCAAAACGGCAATGAAACAATATTAAAGTTATGAAGAATATAACATTTATTAAAGTATGAAAAGAGGATGCATGTACAAAATTCAGTCATAGTCTGTATTTATCGAGAACTTACTGCTAATCTCCCTTTTCAGATCATCTTTAGCCATTCTGTTCCTATTATTATTTCCTATGGTTTCGTCGCTGTACCGCATTCCTTTCTGTAACCAGTTCTTAACTCTGTCTTCCTTAATCTTTTTCTGGTAGATCACGTAACCGTCTTTGGTCACATACGATAGAACAGGGGTTAGGATTTGCTGTTTATTCCTGCCCATGGATCGTCTGCTTCTCTGAGTTCTAAGTCTATTGAGGAACTATCTGTGTCTGAGGACGAAGATGAAGAATCGCTGACGTATTTCTTCCTAATCCTCTTCTTCTTTTTGTGCCTTCTAGGCACATGGTCTTTTTTCTTTTTAGAATAAAACGGCATAACCACCACTGGCAATTTGGGCTGAGGCATCGGATGTGGTATTCCAGGTGGCATAAAGCCTGGTTGCATGAGAGGTGGCATAAAACCAGGCATTGGACCTGGGAATGGCATCTGCCTAGGGAATGCCATCTGTGGTGATCCAGGAAATGGCAGTGGCATCATTTGACAGGATACTGCTTGGAAGAATCCTGACAGGAATATCACGAGATCCAGTACTGATAACATCTAAAACAAAAGAATATTTTGTCAAAGTTGTTTTGTATTATTTCATTCATACGTGGGTCAATCATAAAACATACTATTACCTTCCTTCCTATCTTTAGAAAATATGAAATAGATGGTTGGACTTCTGCCTATTGAGGAGTGTACAACAGAGGGATTTACTAACCCAATGAATTGGACCGAAAAATAGTGTTCAATAAATACTCTCAAACTAACACGACGTAATAGGTGTTTTTAAAAATACCATCGATGTTATGGCTTACTAAGTATGCACATTGTGGCATAAGAGTTATTACCTACAATTAAAAAACTTTGGATAATTTTACTTATAGTAGGTATTATTTTTTTAATCTGGTAAGGTCCAGATAAGTGTTGCGCGTTACTCGCTCTTCAATTTATTTATACCTACGATGAGAGTAATTATTTAAACTCATTTTTTGGATTCTCTGTGCATTTTAGTATAATTCTGTAAATGCCATTAAAAAGGGTTGATTATACCGCATTCAGAAAAAAACTGTACAATCTATTTATCTACTGCATTCGCTGCTGTAAGTATAAGTTTGTAGAATTAACAATTTGTAAGTGTTAAAATTTTAACACCTTTCATCAAAATTCGATTATGAAAAAAATATAGGAACCTAAACTTATTCACGTAACTTATGGGTTTTAATCAAATCTCTACGAACAAGAACTAAGCCCATTGTTCAGCAATTACATAAAAAATTCATTGTGCCATAATGCACCATTGTTTTTCACCGCCATCGATTCCACTAGTTAACAAAATCTACAAACATCAATGCTATAAAACCATTTACAGTTGTGAAATTTCAAAGAAACCTGCTGGAAATGTGCTTTGTGTATTATTTTTTGCTTTAATATATTTGTGTTAATGATAAACAATGAAGATTCGATTAAAAGTATTCCTTATTATTGCAAGTATCACCCCTCATAGATGCAAGGAACCGGAGCTGCCGTTATGTCCAACTAACATACAATTTTTACCGCAAAATCTTCCGATGCATTGTCGCATGCCTCGAGAAGGAGAGCTTCAGAATCCAATGGGTGGCCAGATGATGCCTATGCCAGTTTTGCCTCCAGGACTTCCATCAGGGCCAATGCCTGTGCCTATGTCAATGCCAATGCCGATGATGCCCATGCCGATGCCTGCTATGGGCCCGACGCCAAAAGTCCCTGTCATTGTAATGCCATTCTATTCACCTGATCCTGCGCACAAGATACCGCCTGGAAAGAGACCACATTTTCCTAAAAGGCATTACTATTCAGACACTAGCAGCGATACTGATAGATCTTCTGATACTTCCAGTGATTCTTCACATGAAAACCGTGGATGGTGGAGAGGAAATAGAGGCTTTAGGAGAAACGGGAGAAGATTCAATAGAAAGCACAAGGCAAAAAGAATGAGGTACAATCGCAGAGCTCTTTTAACTCCTGTACTACAGTATGTGACAAAGGACGGTTACGTCATATACGAGAAGAAAATAACTAAAGATGAAGCAAAAGATTGGCTGTCTGTGAGAAAAGAAATGCCAGGTGAAGGTAATGAAAATGACGGAATTGAGCAAGATTTAACAGAGTTACGAAATATTGAAATTCAGTTTCAAGGGCTAGAGGATGATGAAAACGTCAGAGAAATACAAACAGAAAAGAGAGAGAAAAATATTGAAGAAGCAGAAGAAGCTAAACCACAAAAAATAACCGCAAGAAAGCATCGTACTCATAATATAAAATCGAAAAAATCTGACCATCAAAAATAATCAAAGTAATTTTAGAGTAGTATTTTTCACTTTTGTACTGTAGAAATGTAAATAGTGAATACTTGGTGAATACGTGGATGATATTTATTTTTACCAAGAATTAACAAAGTTATATTAATTAAATTAACAAATTAAATATTTCGTTATTAATATCTTAAAACATTGTACCGATGCCTTTGAAATTTTGGCGAATTGTTTCTTCTTTATTGATAAATTACCATCGCTAATGTTTCATTAACTTGGTTGCTAAAACAACAAAACTATGCCGCTTTTTTTTTTGTTTTTAGGGACTATATTTGCAGCAGCGCACACCTTAAGACCTGTCAACGTATTTTTTTATTTATGTAGCCTAGTGATTGGTGAAGTTTAAGCTAAACTATTTAAAAGAAATAATAGAATAATAAAAATTATAACTATAATTGCTATTTCTTCTTTCAAATGTTTAATACTTGTAAAAGTATTCATTTGACATTGTGGGTTTACCTATAATGCGAAGAGATGGCGCTGCCTTGCAGCTTAAGAATAGCTAGAAAGAATTTCGACGCGGTCCGTGAGGGCCGCGGTAGCATAATTGGTCAGTGCATTCGCCCGGATTGCGAAGGGTGCGGGTTCGAGTCCCGTCTGCTGCCTGGTCCGCGTGGAATTTTTTCTAGTTATATTTTCTTTAGATTTAAACATCAAGCAGTTACATGCTTTAAAAATAATAAAAATTATAATAATAGAATATTTTTTCGAAAAATCATTTAATACCTATTCAAAAACGCAATCGGACACAAATTAAGATTGTTTTCTTTGTCGCTAAAACAAATATGATCGGAAGTTGCTGGAATTAGTCCCTTCTGCAGCACGAATATATTTTTAATGTCATTACATTATACTATGCAAGTATTGGCGTCTGGTAATGGGCGTATCTTGTCTCTGCCGATTGTCCATCTAATTCACCCGAGTGTACCAAGGGTAATTTTTCTTTCCATAGTTCACCTCAAGATAACTGTGTGTACTCGGGGCTTTTCTTGTCCACCTGACTATACCAGGGGTAATTATATCTTCCTGTCGTCTACCTGTCTTAGGGAGATACAAAAAAAAACAATAATAAAGCGAGTGACTAAAACAAACCTTAGCGACTAATTATGAGATACTGGTGTCGATTCTAGCGTCATTCTCTAAACAAGAAGGATGCCCATTTGTGACCTGTCAAATCTGTAAAAAAAAATTGCATGTATAATTATGTGACATACCTCAAAAAAAAGGTAATTATTCGCTTATTACGAAATCAAAATATCAACAAAAACTACAATCCAGTTTTTTCAAAAATAATTTTTGAAAATAACCATTATGTAGGTACATTTTTTGCTATCACACGAACGCATCCATTAGGGAAGAGTATTGTATCAAAGTAAAATGACATAATTATGAACGCAGCTTAAATGTAGATTCGCACTCTGCTTTCCAATGTTGCCAGCCATGCGGTAAATACCGTATTTAAATGGTAATGTAATACTTAAAAGGCATGGCTTTAATTTAAAGTTTCTTTCCGTTCTTAACAAAGACTGGCCATTTTCTTAGTGAAACATGACCGAAATAGTTAGGACTCCATCATTTCTTCGGCTGACTACATGAGAAGGAAATTCGTTCCGAAAAAATGCCAGCAATAATGACAGCTGCTCATAGTACCAATCATCTCAATTAATGGAAGGTATTGTAATTTTATTTTAGATTATTTCCTACTTATATACTTGTCTACCAGAGATTTAAATAATACATAGTTAAATGTCTTAGATGTCTATAGATATAATTAGGTAAAGGTCAAGATTATCATTTATTCATTCGCTTGCAGAAACTAAGACATTAAGTACCTACTATTTCAATAAAATAATTGAAACTGAATTATTGATTATATATAAAAAAAACTTGTTTAATTCCAAAGACAATATTATAAGGATGACACCTCAGCATGATACATGTTATGATATTAATCCTTTTTTCTTCAATCCTCAGATCAAGCTTCAATCAAACAAAACAAGCGAATTGAAATAAATACCTAGCTGGGCTAAGACATCACAGCTGTGACAGCACACAAATGAATAATCTTATGCTGGCACTTCACTTGGCTATATATGTAAACTTAACTTCAGTCTGTCCTTTTCTTTCCTTAAAACATGATAAGGACAGACTGTTGTCAAGTTTACAAATAGCCAAGTGAAGTTCCGGCATTAGATAATCTATAATCAATCTCGTAACCACAGAGTAAGTAAATGACATCTTCAGCAGTTGAATAACCTCAGAATTAGTTTTCGTTATAACTTCTATTCCTCATTGCCAAATCAAACCAAATTAGCAACATTATTTCAGAAGATTGTAATAAATAATTAACAACCTCAACAGTCAATATACATCCATAAAGAAAAAACCGAAGTGACAGGTTTTCGAATGTATGGGCAGTGGGCATTGTTCTTTAACATCAGTCTCTCCTTTTCATTCTGTATAGAGAATGACAAGGATGCACTGTTGTCAAATTTAAGTTTAGCTTTAGAGAATCATGCCAGAATCGATATCACTGTTTTACTAACTTGAGCGGTATGAATTTGAATGAGCAACAAAATATCTGAACTAAAGACGAACACTGAGTAATAATTAAAAGGAACTCGAACTTACAAAATAAGGAATTTAAAAATACCATTTTGCACACAAAAAATATTAAGCGTGCGACTGAATTATTAAGTAAGGGACTCAAAATACTGACCGGGTAACTCAAACCAAGATAATATTTTGTTAACTGAAGCCTCTTATTTTATTCTATTTTTGTTTAATTAAGTAAATGTTATATTGTTTTAAACTTTCATGGTCACTAACATTATAGCTATTAACGGGATTGTACCAAGATTGGTCAGGGAAGCGATTGAAAAAACCAAACACAAGAATTTCAATCGTGAGGATGGGTTTAAATTGTCAAGTGTCTGGAATCCAGTGGTTCGGATGTGTAAAAATCAAAAAAGTGTCGTTCCGCGATCTGGTACTGTGAATATTGTGTGTCGGGAACAAGTGCGAGTGAGTAGTGAGAATGTGACCAGTGGTAGGAGCATCGAAGGTAATAAAAGACGACGTCAAAGGGTAGACCGATATGTCTGCTAATAACGTCTACCCGCAATTACTTTAGTTACTCCGTGATCATGGCGCTTGCAACAGTGCCGAAATATCGGAGACTCTTAAAAAACAAGGTACATGGTAACAATCCCGTTTATAGCTATAATGAGTAAATGTTTCTATTATTTCTTCGGAATACGTTGTTTTATTAAATTACGTACCTTGAAATACCTAATTAATTTCTTGAATAATAGTGATTCCTCAAATATACTTAGTTATTACAAATAAAATACAAGAAAAAATATCGAGATTTGTCTTAACATACTCTGGCCATTTTAGTATTTTCAAAAAGGTTTTTTTGTATTGGAATCACTTCAATGTGATAAAATGCTGTTATAAACTTATATTAAAACAAAAGGGGTAGTTACGGCACTAGTCTCACAAAAGTAATCCGCATGAATTGTGGTCCACGACCCTAATCGCTTTAGTCACAACTTGACATGCAAACGACGTACATGTGAACGCCAAAAAGAAATATTGCTAATATTTTGTGTTTATATGATAAAACAATGCCTAAGTGTGTTTTTAAGAAGTGCTCAAATTGCTCAAGAACTTAAAATAAAACCCACGGCATCACTTTTCATAAGTAAGTACTATTAAATATATGTTTCATAAAAATTGCTGTTTGTTTTGAATCTTATTCGGTAGTGACGTCGAGTACTGGTCGCGTGATTAGTCGGTAGTGCAGTGACGCGGATCTCGCCGTCTCGTTCGCGCTGCCGTTGAAACTTAACGTGCTGTTTCGTTCGGGTCGGTAATGCAGTGACGCGGATCTCGCCGTCCCGTTCGCGCTGCCGTGGGATCAGTTTTTGTTTGATGCAAGTATGAGCGTACCGTATCTACCCTTTTTGTTTCAGTCTAAGGCTATAAATAAATCATTTGCCGAATATTGTAAAAATGCAGGACATAATGTTGTTAACCAAACAAATTCAGGTCGCTCAAATAATACAAAGCTGCTCATTTTGTAGTTTTAAGTAACTCAATTGAATGTTTTTATGTCGCTATTTAATGATGTCTCGTCACTCGCAGTCGGTCGCTCACTTGGTAAAACAGTAAGACAAATTCAGTATGGCTGTCACTTAAATTTTAATTTACAGTCACTCGTTTAAATATCAATTAAGTACTTTTTCTTTTTCATTTTTAGTAAGTTGTGACTTGGGATTCGATGAAACGAAAAAGCAACAATATATACCCATACTAGCTGACCCAGCGAACTTCGTACCGCCATAAAAAAATTTAATTAAAAAAACATTGTCCAGCGGACAAAATTGTGAATCTAAACCATTCTCAGATCCCCTTGAACACACACAAAATATTTCATCAAAATCGGTCCAGTCGTTTAAGAGAAGTTCAGTGACATACACACTCACAGAAGAATTATATATATAAAGATATACAAGTTGTCCACAATTTTGCAACTATGAGACAGATATCCAAACGGAAACAGTCTTTGGGTTGAGGCAAGTGATTGGTGGTTCCGTACCCCAAAAGGAAAAAACTGAACCCTTATAAGATCACCTTGTTTTCCGTGTGTCCTGTCTGTCTGTCAAGTCAAGCCCTTTATCTTGGGAATGCGTGAGGGTATCGAGTTGATATTTAAACCATTTTTAAGTAGTCTCTTGAAGCTGTGAAAATTTCACAATTCTAAGTAAACGTAAAAAAAGGCACGGGCGTTTAAATTGCGGTTGGTTGCGTACCTACAAATTTGTAATGGTAGCCATACACACTACGAGAAATCGTTACGATTAGACTGTAGCGTCCGAACGGTACCGATAAATCGTAGCGTGTATGTTATAAAACTGCACAGTTTCCTATACGTACGCCACGTACGATAAACTGTTCCGTTCGAACTGTAC